CCACGTGGCATGCCAAGCAAGATAATCGGAGCCTGACGTGTCCATCCAGATGATTATTTCGGGACCGGGAATTTGAGAGGTATTCATATATACGGATGTCTACCATACTTGCTGTGCCGCTCATCATAAGGAATCAGGTGTGGGCATGCTTATTGTCATTGTCATGCAGCTATTTGAGCGGGAAACTTTGGATTTATTCCTCACTTCGGTCATAAAGGAATTATTGTAACAGTCCGAGGCTTGGCACCTCGGCCCTGTCCTTACACGGGTTTTATGCCCTTTCTTTACCTTTTGACGCGTTGTGTTGCACTGGTCCCGAGTCTAATATATCTTCTATGGTATTTTTTAAAACTATTCATAACTCTAGTAGTTAACTATTAAAAAAAAAAAGGATGGTCTTGAGGGTTGAAATCCTCTTTTCATGGACAGAAGATTATTTATTGATAGGTTAAAAAGATTTATTGTATTTTATTTTATTGATAAAAATTCATAAATTTTATTGATAAATTTATCATTTTTAATTTTTTAATTTTTAACCATAATTTTTAATTAATAACTGATAAAATAATTAATATTTATTTATTAATTTTAATAATAAATTAAAATTAATTAATAAACTAATATTTTTAAATACTATTTAAAAAAATTTTAAAAATTAGTGACATTAACACTTCTACGTGGCAATAGCAACTCCAGGTTTTATGCCATTTCTTTACCTTTTGACGCGTTGTGTTGCACTGGTCCCGAGTCTAATATATCTTTTATGGTATTTTTTAAAACTATTCATAACTCTAGTAGTTAACTATTAAAAAAAAAAAAAGGATCGTCTTGAGGGTTGAAATCAGGGGCGAAGGCAAAAATTTTTTTCGGGGGGGCAAAATACTAAAATTTTCAAAGTTTAAGGGAGGTTAAAAAATTTTTCATATATTAATTTGCAAGATTTTCAAATTTCAGGGGAGAGCGCCCCCCTTTGCACCCCTTGGCTCCGCCACTGGTTGAAATCCTCTTTTCATGGACAGAAAATTATTTATTGTATTTTATTTTATTGATAAAAATTCATAAATTTTATTGATAAATAAAAATGAGCATCAACTTTATCCATGTAAAGTGCCTTATAGGCTAGGCATCCACTAAATAATTGTGGATTTATGTAAGTT